GTCTAGATATTCTAAACCAGGTGAGATACACAACCTTGTCCTGTCAAACCCATTCTGGTGAGGACTAGGAGCCAGTTTAGGAACAAAATAACTGTTTGGCACAGTATGCTAGTAACAAATACATCAACAAGGACTTTAATCCCCAATGGTCTGACTTACATCTAAACAGAGACTAGACTGAAACACACAATTAAGAGAAAATGACCATGAGCAGCTGCCTCTGTAAGCCCAAATACCTGCCAAAAAAAAAAAAAATTATAATAAAAATTTCCGACACAACAAAATGCATATGCACCACGGAAGCTGTCAGGTATTAAATCAAACTGGAGAAAATACTTCCAGCCTCTAAGAAATTCTTCTGCACAGTAACTGGTAGCTAAACAATTTTAACAGAAAACTACACTTATTAACACTAGCAGAATCAGTTACCTGAGTTACCAAAGGTAAAAAAATCAAAGCACTAATTTAGGAAGCGAAAATACAGCTTCTGTTTTCTGAAGAACTACCCTAGTAATGAGGTGGTACTGAAAAGCATTTAAAAATATTTACTGTCATTAAGATGCAATGGTATTTCTAAGTAACACAGAAAAACTCCAGGTAAGGCAACCTAGGGGAATCCTCTGGCCACCGACCAGTCCACCAAGAGCACCACACATGAAACAAGAGCCACGACGCAGACTCCGCGGTACTGCCACGGCATGCACAGCGCCTGCAGGACCCTGCAAGAGCTTCTCCTGCAAGAGCTGCCAACTGCTGCTTCTCCCGGGGGCCTGATGACACTTCTCCCCAGCTGAGCCCTGGCAGCCCACCTGAGCAAGATGTGACAGCAACAGCCCCGCACCCTCTTCCCTGCCTGCTGCACACCGGATATTTTCCCAAGAGAACTGAAGGGTTTGGATTTTTTTTTTTGTTCCCAGGCATTGCTGAGATTTTAGGGAAGGAAGACATTACTTCTCCATGAAGCAGGAGCTCTTCATTTCCACTGAATTTCTCACAAGAACTTCGATGTCTGATGCCCCTAATCAATATGAGACACTTTTTCTTCAGAAAAGCTTTGTTTAGAAAGAAATCCACCACATATTGATTAAAAAAACAACAAGAAATGCACTCATTTCAAGGTACTGAAGAGTAACCGCAGGAAGGACACCTTAAATCAGTAGGAAAAAATGTACATACAGCCAACAAGGCCAGTCACCAAGAAGTCGCCAACAGCATAGGAACCCCTTGGCCCACCATGTTTTCCTGAGGGGAGACCATGTCCCCCTGGCCAGCCAGTGTTCAGAAGCAAATCCTGGCAGTTCTCCGGCTCGGGCTGGGGACTGCCCAGACGTAACCCGCTTCTCCCCCTGCCCAGGCCCCAGACTCACCGGAATCACGCGGGCTGGCAGCCAGGGGAGAAGGAGCAGCTCCCAGCAGCCACACACCAAGTCAAGCTTCAGCTGGAAGCCAGGCAAAAGCCTCAGGAAACACTGCAGGGGTACACGAGCAGCTGTCCCGCTCTGCCAACACCAGAACGGCTGCAGACAGAGAGGGCAACACTTCGGTCACCCTGCCTGCTCACAGCGGCAGCCCTGCTCTGTCCTCCACCCAGAGGCAGCCGTTACTGCCTTCTCCAGGGGGCACTGCCAGGGCAGCCCCATCAGCTCTGCCCCACACACACAGCAGGTGGGCCACAGGCCTCTGTGCACCCAGCTTAAAATGGCCACCCTCCCAACTCGGGCGTTCCAACAGACACGTTTCTGTGAATCGCATGTGCATTCGTCACCTAACGCTTCTAGGAGCTACCCATGCTCCTGCAGGTTTCTCACAGGCTCTGAAACTGTCAAGCAAAGCTGGAAGCTTGAGACACAAAAGCAGATGGGAGAAGGAAGTCAGCAGGTCAGCTAGCACCAGCAAATGCTTAAGACTGAACAGAGGTAAAAATGTTTATTATCACCATCAAAAATATTCAGCTGCATAAACCTCAAGTTACATTGAAAACTGCTTTAAAAAAATAGTTTGCATAGCTGATTCCGCTCCCCCTCCCCCCCCCCCCAAAAAAAAAAAAAAAAAAGAATCTGAGGATAGAGCTGCAAATCATTCTCTCACATTGATATTTTCCCTTCAGGTTGAAAGTGTCTCAAATACATCCAAGTTAAAGACTAAAGCAAATGCTCCTTGATCACCCAGTGAAATATTTATTCTAAGGCACTCTCTGAAGCAGAACGGAGTGTTTCACCTGAAGAGGTTAAAAATCTCACCCCTTACCTTTTGTGATAGAAATGAACAATTCTACAAACCACATAATTAAGCTAGCATTATCTTTATTTTGAAAGACCACCACTTTTCAAAGGATTAATGCCATCTGTAAAGAATGGGGCAATATCAACACACTTGAACTTAGCTAAACCAGTTGCAGCTCCCAGTAAATACTCTGTTTAAAAAGAGGTAGCTTTTAACACACAGCAAGTACAAGATCACTATTAAATTCCTACCTGTAGTCTCCATTTTACAAATATATATGTGTATATATACACCTCATTGATCCTTTAGTTTAGGAAAGTTTTTTAATTCTTTAATAAATCAATCAATTCAAAATTAGAGCATCAAAAGTCTCACAGCACTGTACGATTTAAGCAACAGAACTCTCCATGTAACTGAAGAGAACTGTGCATGTTGTTTGCATATGAAGATACCGAATGGTTAAAGTTGCTATTTCTTCCAGGTCAATAGCTAACAACCATCAATAGCTTCGGTTCCCAATGGGCAACAAAAAGTGGAGCCATGCTCCTGCAGGAATCATCCTCTCCCCCAGTTAAGATGGCATGCTAGAGATTGTGTTACTCTGACAATGTTACGTTATGGCAACACATATAATCAAAGCAAGAATTCTACTGCCAGATTAAATGCCCTAGCACTGCTCCTAAAATTTGGTTCCATGTTAAAATCAGAAAACAATATATTTTTATGGTGTTCATAGTTTTGTGTAGTTATTTTTTAAAATCTGTTAGTATGAGCTGTTTAGTTTGCAAAGGACTCCAGGATGTGTGTTCTCCAAGTTATCAATAGAGCAAGTGTTAAATATGGAACTTAAACATTCATTCATGTTCACCTCAGATGTAGCATTTAAAAACAATGTCAGCATTCTAGTTTTCGATTTATTTTCTTTTATAAAAGTTCTTTAAAAAATATTTTTTATATTTATATATATGTATATACACGCATATTGTAGTGAAATCAAACGACTAAAAGTTAAAGACAGTCCTATTTTCATACCATGTTCCTTATCTGGTACATGTTTGAGTTGCTCAACTGGGATGCCTTTGTCTGAGACACTTAGGTGATGTGAAAGGTAGAAGGAATAGCAGTCCGAACTTGTGACCTGGAAGCTGTGCACTGATTTGAGATGGGAAGTGCTGGAGAAGCATGAGATAATTTGAATATGCCAGGACAGAGAGTGCCATCAGTTTTGAAGTAAATCAATAAAATGGATAACCTCTGATAATGTATTTCCAAGGCCACAGAGCTTTTCTACTATGAAAATCCTGCAATCACCTCCCAGTAAATAAATGATTCCCTACGACTTTTAAATCAGGGAAGGTTCTTGATCAGGGCTCGTTACACCCTTTTTCAGAGGTATTTGGTATTTATGTAGACAATAGGCTGGACTACAGTCACCACTCATCTGCTTGAAGCAGTGCCTACAACAAAAAACAAGATGGGCAAGAACTCTGTTGACATCATCTTAACCTAAGTGCTAAACATATAATTAAACACATTTAGATATCTTCTCACTCAGGTTCTAAGCACAAATGCTTTTGGTCTTACAAAAATAAAAAAAAAAAACCAAACAAACAAAAAAAAAAAACCCACAAACCACAAACGAAACAGTCCTTTCATACGTTGAGGTGGTTTTGCTAAATGAGAACATACATTTTAGTTTTAGTACTACCGTTTTTCCCCCCTCATCACCAGTACTACAGCTTTCCCATTCTAAAAAAAAAAAAATATTTTACCATGTTACAACGCACAATAAATAAACTAAGACTGTATTAGAGATTATTGTCAATATTCAGTAGATGAAGCCTCACTACAGCATTTAATCTACTATGTGTTAGTGAACTAAGATGACTATTAAGATTTCAGTTAAGGAAAATAAGCAAGTATTTTTGGTTTTACCATTTCAATTTTAATACAATTTTAAAAAAAAAGGTAAATGTTATGCATGGCAATGTTTATTAAACAATCACATTTCATTTAAGCATTAAAATGCAGCAATCTGGAAAAGCTGCCAGAAACAATGTTTGGCTTCAGAAAAGGCAATTATGAAATTACTTCCAATAAAATTCACATACTCTCTTGTCTGTTGATTAGTTGAATGCTTTAGACTGGAAGGAACAGAAAGTGCAATTCAGCTGAATGTTACTTTCACAGGTAAAGTCTTAGTGTCCTACAAGCAGTTACTGAAAGGCCTCACCCTCAATCTTCATGGTAAAGGACAAAATTCTCCCATTTCTATACAATTAAAATTTACTGCAACATTTCTAACAACGTAACATTTTTACTAACCCAAAATTAATTTCAGAATATAACTGCAGTATTCTGCCTATCATAAGCACCTTTTTTATATTTTTTTAAAATCTGATTTGCTTGACATGAGATGGCATGAGATACATCCTCACTGCAAAACTGGAAACTTACATGGAGCAATACAGTTACAACCACTTATAGGAACATGTTCTAGTTTAGGGTAATTTATACCTAAAGCATACTACTTTTGCATGGAAAATCTAAGATGCATATTATGTTTTCTGTTTCTGCCGATACACTTTCAGGAAAGTGACTCATCACAGAGTAGCCAAATATTGACCTGCAGCTTAGCCTTTTGCAAAAAGACTGCTCTTTCTCACATCTTTTTTGGAAGACTTGGAAAGAAATGGACAAAGGTTAGCAGATAACAGCTGACATATTGGCAAGTTTTAAGCATTTAGAATTTTTTTTTTTTTTTTTTTTTTTTTTTTTTTTTTTTAAATTCAACATGATTGAGTGGCAGTTGGAAATAGACAACAAGTATCTTTCTGGCTCCTAAACTGCTTGAGAATCACTTAATATATGGAGATAGTGAAAAACACTGTGATTATCGTCCTTTAAAGGCTGTAAGAACACACTAGCAATTTTCAATTTGCTTTTGTAGAAACCTTTAAAAATGTGGAAACATGTTCTTATATGTGGGTGCTGCTGCTTGAAACGAAAACAGTTTGTTGACATCCAGACAACTATTACAATTCTCTGAAAGCAAAGCAGTTTATAAGCATAAGAAACAAATGGTCATTTTGCAAAAATTTAGACCTAATTTAGTAATTTGTAGAATAACACTTTCAAACCGTGCAACAAAATAATGTAGCCAACAGTAACATACAGGTACACCATTTAATATTTATTATATGCATTTTATATACATTATTTTTCAACAGCTGTACTTTTGCTATGTGGTACAATCTTAAAAATTTGCTGATTCATAGTTTGTAAAACAGAAACCTTACAAAACTCATCAAAACTCGCAAACTGATCAGAAAAGTTTTGTGGAAGACTAGAAAAAATACTTTATTGTATTAATCATGCATTACACAAACAAAAACTTTAGTTACACCATAAACTGAAGCACATCTGAAAATAAAATAAAAGCAGGGAATAACTAGTCAAAACACAGCAGATTTATGAATCTTGAATCAACTACTTTTGTATTCTATCTGAAACGCAAATAAACAATTTTCACTCCAGAAGTTCTGAAACAAGATTGTTTTTTGGAATCAACTCCCCTCCATGTATTTAATCAGAAGAAACAGAATTTCTTGATTTGCAACTTTAGAATTATCATACGTCCCATTTTCTCATCTATTTTAGACTGTTCAAAGAGTGCCATAATAGATATACAGGGCCCTTTAACACACTACATAAAAGGATATAAAGACCAACAAAAAGTGAAATAAATAACAATAGGCCATTAGCAAGATGGGTAATCCTTGATAAATAAACTCGTAAATACAGTAAGATGTACAAAATATCACATAGTGATAGGATGCCAAGATTATTTTTTTTTTTTTTTAAAGAGTTCATTCAGGGGTGTTAACCCCTCTGTGTTTCATCTGAACACAATTTACAGTCCTTTATTTATGAAGACAGTTATGCGATGATGATGAACTAGCATCCTTATGCAAGGACTTAGCTGAGCTGTATTAGGCAAAAGAAGGGAAGAGTGTGGTTACACAGCAGCGGGTCAGTGAGATCTCTGTGTTTTAGGGTTCTATAATGCAGAAAAACATTATCAATACAATCTTGAGCACTGTTGTGACAGGCTAAATATATAAAAAGACTTATAAAAACTAGAATTTTATCCAAACATTTTGTGCAACTAATGCTAAAATATTTTAAGTTAAATTTCCTTTTCTTTAAAGCAAAATAAAAGTTTAAAAGGGGAATCTGTGGCATTCAACTGATAAACAGAAGATTACTAAGAGATGAAACAAAAGCTACTCTTGGAGCTCACTTCCCCCCACAAGAGCACCACATTCCTAACCCTAAGGCAGCACACAGAGTCCAAAATAAAAGTCTTTTGTAAGATCAGACTCCACGTTTGCTTAAAGACACCTAAAGAACAGACATATGCTCAGTTCATATCCAGTCGAGGCTACAAATACTGGTTTTCTTTTTTTATATTTCTTCTGACCCCCCCAAATACAGTAATTACAGTTAAATGAATGAGCCTGACATTGTTCAGGATGTGGTGACTGTTCACCAACTTATACCTGCCCTACATAAGAGCCTTCACCCAGGCAGATCAGATGTAGTGTCTTATTGGTAACCTTATCATTGATGGCAGTGATGCATTCCCTCTTTTTTGTCCAAACACTCCTGCTGTAATGATGCAGGTTTGTTCCGCTATGTCACACAAATACTTTGGCAAGGGCATCAGCTCCTGCACTGGCAATATATGCTTTTGATGGATGAAATGCTACGTCGTAAATTGATTCATCCAGCTTTTTCCTATGAGCTGTTATTTCTTGAACACATGTCTTGCTGTCCAAATTCCATAACCTAATGGAACAATCATGGCCTGATTAAGAAAAAAAAAAAAAGAAAAAGAAAGTTAGATGTGTTAGATACTTGCATGCAACAAATGCAAAATCTATAGAGCTTACAGAATATGAAAAAAATCCTTACTTCCAGACATTAGATAGATTCCATTAGGATCTACAGCTAGACTTGTGACAGCATCCAAGTGAGCAACCATAGAATGGATCATTTTACCTAAAAGCAAAATAAACTATGAGTTTCCTGTGAAGTATTCTTTAAAAAATAACATTACTAATAAACACAATATAGAATAGCATGTTTATTTAGATTACAATATCTGAGTGATACAAATCTATTAGAAATTTAAGTCTCAGCTGCAGATTTTTGCATAACCCTGTGGGTAAATGAAAAACAACTCTCAAAAAGGGATCCCATTATAAGCACTCTTCTACCCATCTGACATCTTTACTGGTAGCAAGGAAAGCAAAGACCAAACCTAAAATGACTGGGTGAGAACCTAAATTTTTACTCCCTTAAATGTCCCAGTACCTGCTCTAGTCAGACAGTGTTGATGAAGCTTTGTAAAGAAAGACTTAGAGTCATACCAAAGGTCCAGCTATCTCTGTCATTGCCAGGAGAGAGGCTTTCGGTGATAAACCAGGGTAGAAAGTAACACAGCAACTCTAAGTGATACTTCCCCAGAATACTCTCCAGCATCTAACAATTAACTCTTCAGTTGTGTCACAAACCAGAGGTGTTATCTCTGCATTCAGCTACTCTTAATGATTTTCAGCGACCCCCATTCCTGAAGTGTTAACATCCTTCAGCATGTCATGATGCTTTTTGGAAGGAGTTCCAAAATGTTTAACTGCACATAAGAACAACCACCTCTTTCTGGTTGGAACCTGTCATCTGTTGTGGCTTATCAACTGTTCACGGATTGAAAAGAGAACAAATGAGTCCCTACAAGACCATGACCAACATGAAGAAAGTATCATCTTCACCCAGTTGTCTGTTCTTCAGAAGTTTCCTGGAGAATCTGAGCCTATTTAGTTTCTAAGATTCCTCCTGAAGAAGCTAAAAGCTACCCAGGATCTCAGATTAATTTTTAACCATTTTCTGAAACATTTTCATCTGGCTATATCCATTTTGAGATAAGGGAAACTGGAGTAACACAGAGCATGCATGTGGATACACCAAGAATTCATACAAAGTTGCAACAATTACTTTGCTCTTTATTCTTTTCCTTTCTCTTAACATTCATTTTGCTGTTCTGACTGCTAAGCAATGAACTGACATTTTCACCCAACCTCTTCTTATAACTGCAAAGTTCTACCTTGAATAAGAACAGTCAGCGCAGTGATTATTATAAAGTTTTGATGCATTATAAATGCATCATTTCATATTTATCCACATGGAATTTAATTTGCCTGCTCTTAAGTCTATTAAGATCTTCAGTTCTTTCTTGTCAGCTTTCACATCTAATACCCAGAACATTTGAGGAATGGGAAGTTTATGTTCATTCTTAAAATTGTTCCAACCTTTTTGTCATGGCAGACTGTGTGAATTTTCCCTAAATCCTTCTTTCCCTTTTTTTCCAGATCCTTTTCTGGTTTATAAGGTTAATCAGCAAGTTATGTATAACACAGGATTCCATTATAACAATGAATTTAAGGTTTCTTGCCCTTAGAAGTACTAAGCAAAGTTCTTTACTACTGAGAGCTGAAAAACGTAACTGCTTTGAAGTAAAAGCATGCAAATGATGAACACAGGAAGAAAATGGCAGACACATTCTATAAATTATCAAAGTGCTAACTTAAGAGGACCTTCCTATCCCTCACAACTATCTCAACCTGCAACAGATATCACTATTTCATAGAAAAGGTACTGAAGAAGTTTAACAAATACTAGAAGTTCTTTTGTGCAAAACTGGATCACTAGTAAGTTTTCTACAAATGGATTCTCCCTATGTCCATCCAAATTTACTTAAAATATATTCATACATACAAATTAAGTTCTTTATCCTTACCCGTTTTGTTGTCAAAAAATTTGATGTGTCTATCTTCATGTGCTGTAATAGTTACAGGAAGAGTGGGATGACTTACTACCTTGTTAATATGATTATTTGATTGTACACCTGAAAACCAAACAAAAATATTCACTTGCTTTAAAGAAAGGGTTAAAGTTAAAAGGAGAATATTTTAGCATTACACTTTAGATTACTATAATAATTAGTATTATAAAAATGACATTTTAGGAAGAGCACCAATGAATCTCCTAAGTAATAAATAATAACTTGGCATTTTCCAGTATGGGGCTAAGCCAGATAGACTCCAGCCAACTGCAAGGTCAGAGCTTTACTGTAAGGTTAAAGCTGTAAAAGTGGTTTGAACACATGAAAGGTTCTTGAGACAGCAAACCAAGTACTGCAGGGCAGCATTAGCCAAGCAGAAACGAACTGTGGCACCTATAAAATATGCTTAGCACACCCCTTACACCTCCACACCAAAAAAGATTTTGCTTCATAAGAAAAAAAAAGTCCCCATTATTGAGGTCAACCTAACTGAACAGCCTGTCAGATTTATTTATGTCTTATTTCAACTTAAAGAAACAATGACTGGTTTACAATCTCTTTAGAAGTTTTTACAATACTCTTTAAAAAGCACTTTCTTATCTTGATATGACAGCTTTTTAAGGCTTGTTACCTTCATTTCTGCGTATAATTTTTATGGTTTCCCTTTAGGATTCTCTCTTCAAACTATGAAGGGTATTTCTGCAGTTCGTTATCTTCTTTCTCAATGCCAAAGCCAGTTTTTTTGCACAAGCTGCCCACAATATAGCTTTTACACAATTTTGTAAACTGTGCTGAAGTCTTCACATAGTGATTATGCTTAACAGTATTAAGTAGGCTAAGTAAAGTAGACTTTAAACTCCTTAACACAGGAGATTTTCCTTATGGGATGCTTTCATAGGTCAAAGAAAAGAAGGCACCTCTAGATAGTTTCATCAGATACCTGTAGTTCTTAAAAAGCTGTATCTTTGTAGCAACAGAATTTCTAATATTTAAACACTATTTCCTGCAGAACATTTATCAAAGCTGTGCAGAATTCTGCACTGAACTAATGTTTTGCTTAGTTCACTTATTTACTTAATATCCTTCATGTCAAAGCTATATAATGAAAACTGTGTTTTAATATGCAGTTCATACAACTGAATCTTAAGAAAATTGAACTTAGAAGAAACAAACCCTTTTGCTTTCACTATCTCATTGCTTTCAGATCCTGCTAATCCATGAACCTTCTCCATCATGTCTCTTCCACACATCTTCTAAGCATCTAATCAACTTTCAAACTGCATGATGCAACAAAGAAGCAAAACTTTTTCATTTATTTCACCATGTAATAAACTTTGATAAAGGTACCTCATCCAAGATGGGTATTTAATACAAAAGAGCTTTACTTACCAGACTCTATTTGTGATGAAAGCATTACCACTGGCTGGGATGTTTCTAAATCATAGATGACTGTGCTGCCAGTGTTAAAGGATGCTACCATATGAGCAGGATCACAACCAATAAAGTCAACTGATGTAGGTATTCCATGCTCTAGAGAGACAGGAAAATGTCTTTAGAATGAAAAAAATTTTAAAATTCTTGACAGTTTAAACATTCAGTTTGTTTTATACTCATTCTTGAAAGAAGACATTTCTCTCTTCTTTAAAGTACTGTTACAGCACCAAGATTACTTTTAATATTTTTTTCCCTTTAGACCTTTAGCTTCCTTTTAGTTTTGATAACCAGAGATAATGAGCCGGGCTGTATCAGCAGCTGCCTCAACAGGTTTTCAAAACCACAGCAAACACCTACCTCTCTCTCCATTGTAAGTGCAAATACAGGGCATTTTTTCTGGTGGGTTCCATAATCTAATAGTGCCATCTGCTGAAGAAGACAGTAAGTGATTCTTTACACTGCTGTACGCGAGATCCCAGACTGCATCTGTGTGAGCAATTAATGTGCCAGCTAGAACGTTTGGCTCTGGAAAAAATCCAAAAGTTCAGAAATTAAACCTTTCTCATGAAAAAACATTAAATAAACACTTCTTGTACCTCAAGAAAAATTAAACTCCACATGAAACTGTCAAATGCCTCCAGCCCTTCCTGTCTAAGCAAAAGCTAGAAGATTACACTTGAGGTCATTTTGCATAATCACTGCCATCTTTCTTCAAAAACCCCACAACAAACAAACCCCCCCAAACAAATAAAAGACATCACCAAATCAACCAACCAAAACCCCCCTACAAACAACTATGTCCCTTTTTTTTTCCAGAATGATACACACTTGTTACCACCTCCTCCCTGAAACACTTGCTTCTTCCTTCCAAATTCAGCATCTTGAAGATGTTTGGTCACAGCCCTTTCTCTGTACAAGGTGCTAAAACACCTAACAAAACCAGCTTTCCACTTAAACAAACAATGACACTGAACACTGGTTTTACCCAGTGTATTCTGCTGACACATGAGCATGCTCTAAAATTCTTGAGCCTCCTAGTAATTAAAATAAGATTATTTCTCCTGTGGATCAGATTCTTATTTTCTTCTCCCCGATACTTCATATTTGTCTTTTATAAAGGAGCATTTAATCTGTTCTCTACAAGGCTTTGAGTAGAGAAGTAAGAGAAAAAGATAAATGGAAAGGAATAAAGCCAGGTAAAAAAATTAGTTTTGCAGAAAATTAAAATCAATTTGGTCTCACAACCCAAAACCCTAACAAGCTTTCAGGAAGAAACACATCCTACTAGATCTGTCTCTTTTAAAAATAACTGTCACTTGAGTAGAGACTGTTCTGTCTGAGGCCTGTGAAAACTGCACCCATGACACTATCTGCATGAGCAAATCAGAACCCTTTTAGTGATTAAACTATACTGCACACATTTTTATCAGAGGCACAATCTGACCTATGTATTGGTTCTAAGGGATGGGGTGCAGCAGTCTTCCTAAACCAGTGCAAGACAGCCCTGCTCCCCTTCCCTCTCCATTCCACTGATACACCTTACGCTGCCAAGTGCTGTATTAGCTCACTGGCTACACTGACACAAGGGGGAGAGGAAGAAATCTTGACTCTGCCCCTTGCAAACTGCAGTGAAGCATGGGACTGCACGCTTAGAATGACACTGAACACAAAATGCTGATCACCATCAATGGCATGACAGTGATGCACGATTTTCCAAGCAGTTAACAACTCCTTAATTTTAGAAACAGTGGTTATGGGAACGGAGATGCAAATCAGAATCATAGGACAAAGAATTTGAGGATGCTTATCTCAGTTTTCTGAGAAATTCCTATCAGAAGAAATGAATAATTTAAAAATCTGGAATTTTGATTCAAAGTAGTAAGCATGCTTCTTATAAAAATAGAGTTATGACTAACTTTTTCTTTACTGTTTGAACCTCAGAAACTGTCAGCCTTCCTACTGCAGTTCTATAGAAAGTACATCACCAATGCAAGTGGAAATAAATAATCGCTTACTACACACAAAAAGTTGAAAACATGTAGTTGAAAAATGGCAGTTACATTTTAAAAAAGCTCTAGAAAAAAAACAAAACAACAAAATGCTCTGATAATTAATGTACAAGACAAAGGTCATAAGTTATCTCTTCAAAAGTACCTACCATAGGTATCATATGGATCCACATTAGGGCTAGGCATGTTCCACCACTGGATGGTTGCATCAATACCTCCACTGAAACACTGCTCTCCATTGGAACTGATTGCCAATGACAATACAGGTCCACTATTGGGAGACAGAGAAAAAGATATTTATTGAAATTGCCTACAGGAAAGAAGTGAAAAATTTGCTATCTACTTTCAAAAAAACCCGGATTGTATTAAGTAGTTTAAAAAATGCAAACTCTAAAGAAACAAGTTCTGTTAAAATATTAAAAACAGGGAAGGCTTAGAGTGGACATTAGGAAGAACTTCACTGAAAGCTGTCAGGCTTTGTTTGTTTGAACATATGACCCAGAGAGGTGTTTGAGTCAGCAGTGAGTTTAAAAGCCACGTAGATGTGGTGCTTGGGGATATGGCTTAGAGCTGGACTTGGTAGAGTAGTGTTAATGGTTAGACCTGATCTAATAAAAAGTTTTTACTTTTCTTTTTCCACCCCTCCTTGAAGCGAACATAGTAAGTGTTATCCACTTCCATTCTCTTGTGAAGTTCACTGGCTAAGAGGGCTGGAGACAGGATCTTCAGTTATTTAAGCAAAGTAGACTCAAACAACTATAGCCTGCACATTTTTGTCTTGCCTTCTTATTGGAAGGAAGCAGAATTCACGATTAGCAACTGAAACTCAGGCAGTAATAAAGCAATTAACACAAGTTGAAAAATCACTACAAGTTATACAAGTAGCAGCTCAACTCGCAAGTTTTACTAACATTGTTTAATTCAGGTTAGCTCACTGTCACCATCTGCCACAACAAAGATCTTTCCTTTTCAGGCTCATTTGTGCAACCTGCTTTCCCAACATCTTGGGCTGGACTGCAATCATGAACAAAAATATTTGTTATGGCGTGTGGTGAACCACCATCTGCACACAAAGCAGACAAACTTGAGATGGAGGAATCCAGGGTTGACATCACAAGAGAACAGACTGTAACTATCAGAACTTTACTCGGGTTATTAACCAATGTTTATATGACAACAGTTATCTCATGGATTTCCAAGTTCCCCCAACCCTGAGAGGCACATGTATGAATTAATACTCATGGCCCTATCTATTACTTCAGCCTATTCTAGCAATGAATTCTGTCTCTTATTCTCGTTCAAGCACCTAAAAAAAAAAAAAAATTTCAGCATTCTCCTACTTACTTGCTTGGTCTTCTGATTTTTCACTCATTGAATCTGTATTCCACGCTTTTTAATGATTGCATCTGTACTTTTAATTTCTCAGACCTGTGTCTGAAGATACTAGGTAAGACTAATAAAGGCTAATTTATCTTCTTCACATATTGTATATAAAATTCGTAGTCCAAGACATACACATAACTCAGGTAATTTCATTATCATCTTCTACACTCTCTTCTTTCCATTGCAACTAACCACATCTGCCATTTCTTGTTCTTCTTGCATTACCACGAATCACGCAATTCTTGACAGGGACTCAGTGTTTACCTGGTTTTACAAAGTATAATGAACCTTGTCTATACAAGAAAATAAAAATAGAATACATTTGTAGCTTTCACACTGAAGCTCAAACACTTACATGTGGGCCCTAAATGTGTAGATGGGTTCTACATCTAAAGAGGCACTCCTGAAAGAGAAAGGGAGAGATATTATGGAACATGAAATCTCTGCTGAAAAACTCCGGAAACATTTCAGAGTTTAGTCAATTTCAAGGGCATTTAAAACTCAATTTATGTTTTTTAAAAACCCATATACTTGCTTTTTGGCAGGAACCGTTTTCTGCAAATTCCAAAGTTTTAGAGTATGGTCCTCAGAGGCTGTAACCAGCACAGGCTCTACAGGATGAAAAGCTAATGCCCGCACTCCGTCAAAATGACTGCGTAGCGTGTACTTAGGGTTCCACGTCTTCCGGAAGGCATCTTTATTAGCTGGCAGCTTAAAAAAAGAAAAGGAAAAGAGTGATTTTATCTTGAGTTTAAAAATATGTATAATACAAATCTCTCTGTATTTCTGGAAAACACACTATGTGTGATTCAGCTAATACACGTTCCATCTTAAGTTTTCATTTATTTACTGATCTGTCTATATGCATCTGTAACTGCCTCTCTTGCGTGCAAGACAAATTTTTCTATTGTAATCATTTCTTCGGTCCCAGAGTGGACTGGATTTACCATGTAAATAAATATATACAAACTTTAAATTTATATATTGTGAAAATCCAATTAATATTGAACCTATACACTGGTTATGCTAAAATAAAAAAATTACAGCTGCTTAATATTATAGGTAACTCACAAGAGTTAACAGAAAACCTCAAAATTCTTCTAGTGACTGTAAGAGACTAATTTAGAGCTTTAAATACAGTTTACATTATGCAGAGCAGACCCTTAAAAGATGATATACCATTTGTCCTCAGTCTCCATCATAAGGAGAAATACATGTGTAAGTACCCCTCTCTCACACTCCAGTAATTAAAAAGGGAGTTTAGAAAACTGAGTTTAGACAGCTAAAATTAGCAAACTAAGAATGAATGGAAACTAATCCTATCCTCCACCTTACTACCTATTTATCATATAATTGTTGAAGCATGTTTCTCAACTGTAAGCAAGAATCTTTCAGTATCTCAAGACACTTGCAGCAACACTATTAAGAGATTAAAATCTCCCATAGCTAATAAAATCTTAGTACCTTGTATCTGCCAGGACTGAAAATAAAACTCAGATCATAGCATAACATATACTGTAATAAGTACTTTTTGGAATAGGACAGACACAGAACACAAGGCAACTGCAAAACCAAATTGTGATCTCATCTCACAATCACAGCTGCCTTACTTCTGAAAGTACACCATTTAGATTTTTTGATGCCTTGTAATTACTGTCAGTAATTTTCATCTATTCTCTACAAGGCTTTGAGTAGAGAATTGAGAGAATAAGATAAATGGAAAGGAATAAAGCCAGGTAAATCACTAAACACTTGAAGAAATTCAACTGACAAGTTGTGGAGCTTGATTTCAGATTCTGAACTGCTTTAAAATAAGTATTTTTCCTCATGCTAGTTAGCATTAAACCAAACTTTTCTTAATTCTTGAGTGAAGATACAGACAGGAACATATAAAAGTTAATAAACCAAGCACTATGTAAAAACAGCACTATGTAAAACAAACCCCCAAACTATTCAAATTCATAATTCCCAGGGGAATTCACTACTGTTTAGTAGTAGTAAGGAGCATTCAGTCCTGGATGTTTTAGATCTAAGCTGCGTTAACGCATTTACAACTGAAGCTTTTGAAAAACTTTTCTTTGAAGTCCATTTGTTCATAAATACTATAGGTGTCATTGAAACTTTAAAAAAAGGTTGTAGTTTCCTAGGAAATTGTACATGACTCTCAAGTCAGTTACATTTTACATGTGATCACATAAGATTTAGCTAGACAGAAGGCAGAGAATCCTGGGAACGTTACGATGCGAAGAGCTGAAAGTGAATTCTGATACTAAGTCATCTGACTTCCCAGGAGCATTACGTCATTTGAAATGCAACAGACGACCTGCAAATTAATCTTTACTGTCAACAGGCCAAGATATTATAGAAATTTAGTAACTACTCAATGTTTTTTAAAAATTCATTATTTTTATACAGTCCAGTAACAGAAGGATAGATAATTAAAACTGTCAGATTATCCAGGAAGTAGAATTATGTAACATAACAACCTGCAACATCAGAGAAGCAAGTATTAGCTGTTAATCCATTACAGCAATTAATAATCCAAACAGTTATATACTGAAGGACAACTACCATAAAAAAAAAAAAAAAAGGTGTGCAGTCACAAGTACTTTCAGATCATTAGCAGACAAGCATTTTTTAGCAGAAAGCTAAAAACAATTTATTTCTCCACTTCACAGATTCTAAGATTTTATAAAATTCCTAGTAATGGTTTACAGTACAAACACCATGTATCTAATGTGGAAAATTATAGAAGCAGAGGTACCTTAACAACAATAATAATAATAAACCCAACGACAACCCACAACGACAAGACATTTTAAATACAATACATAAGATTTACCTGAACACCTCCCTGACCAGCCACCACATTACTAGCCAAGGAAAAAATTAATATAACACTATTGTTAGTAGCTTAATGAATATGGTCAAAGGAATGTCACAACACTCTGGATTATAATAAAAAAACATGTAAAACCTTACATCTGAAATATACTTCTATGTATAGTCTATGCTGTTACCGGTACAAAGGGGAGATCAAAGAAATAAGTTAATATAAGTATTTGGATTTTATGCCACATCTTCTCAGTATTCCATATCAGTGTGTTCAATTGACATTTACGTACAAATTCATGTTAAGACATCAATTTTTATTTTATGTGGTAACACATTCCCCCAGTGACAAAACCCGAGTTAAATTATTTAAGAAGAAAACAAACAATTTGTCTCTCTTAATTTTGGTGACCCAAATTACTTGGTCTGTTCACCCAGGCAAAAGTTTTTGCTAATGAAGCCTCCTTCCTCTGCATCTGTAATGTTCAGGGTGGGGAAAAGGGGACTCAAGTACTATTGATTAAACGCTATAAAGAATTTTATAATAAAATTGCACTTACATCATAACTGTAGTCTGCATCATTTGTTACTGTCAAGTCTGCAAGGTCTCCAAGGCCCAGTACGCTTAACAACACGTCATCAGAACCCATAATAAATGACTTGCCTCCTCCAGGTGGAAATGTTATTGGCTCAGCTACAATGAACAAAACAGTCTCTCTAAGTCTCAACGTAATAATTCAAACCGATGAAAAACTGCATTAGTCATCACTTAAAAGCAAAGAGTTAAAACTGAACTTGTATGTACTCATGCTGCCCCAGCTGAAAAAAAGAGCATGAAGACATGCACACATGTGCAAAGACCCACACATATATGAAAGACAGAGTTTTTATATCATGCTTTGTCATTTAATTTCAACTTACTTTACAGGTGTTCAATAATACTGATAAGTGACTTGGCTGACATTACATTGCAATATCAAATGTATGTCACTTTTTTTGTGCTTATCTCTCAGGCTAAAGGCCTTCTGCAAAACTTCTACTTTCATTTTTTTCAGGTTATTTAAAGAATGAAAATACCTGTTATTTATTAATTCCCTCTCTTACCTTCTCAGTGTGATTTTGGATTCTAATTTAAAATACACGCAACTGATACTTCTCTTAGCTAGCTATGCCTTCCCCAAATTAAAATTTAACATTTCTGTTAATTGTAATTTAGAAGGAATACAAATTATAACCATTAACTCTGAATTCACATCTGAATAATAAAGTTCCAAATATTCACCCATATTCTTTAAACTCTTCAACAACTCCGTGTATCTCCCTCTACCGTTCTTTTCTGCTAAACACTAACTTAGCAGTATAGAATAGGAATAAAGGCTTGAACAGCATAATACTTCAGTATACTTTAGAAGTTGCTTTTATTTAAGAGTACTCCTTTTGGTGTAAAACTTGGGACATCTGTCAAGTACTTAAACTTCAACTACATGCGAACTTTAACTAAATGCAAACATCCGCAAAATATGCTAAATCATATTTGACATCCTTAAAAACTAAACTTTAACACCACCCCTTGTTTTTGATCCTCTCAGAAAAACCTTGAAACTGAGAGTAAGTAAAGTTTCCAGATCTGAAAAAATCCATATACTGTTTTGTCTTACAGAAATAGTTGCAAACAGGAGGACTAATAATCATCACATTCCTGTTCCAAACATGCATTTCTATTATTCTGTATTGCCACTATCTGAACAGCCACCTAGTTATGTTCCAGCTGAAGAGAAGTAACCACATGTGAAGTCGTAGATGCCTGTCATCATTGCTGTGGCCATGCAAAGAGGAACAAGCCCAGCTAGATCAAAAAAATCACTTCAAGAATAAACCAAGGTCTAATGTATAAGAACTACTGTACTGTTGAAATAAAAGTAACCTTATTCCCACAGGCCACATAACTGGATATGAGAAACTAAGAATACAGCATATGTAAGAAAAAAGACTGTTGTTGCTACAATTGCATAAAAAGAGCAAAGAGTATTCTAAGTATACACAAATACCTCTTTTTAAAACATTCACAATCCATGCAAAGGTGTTGATTCACCAGAATACTACATTAAATTAAAAGCCCAAAATAGATTATTATGCCCTTATACAAATAAGCTTTTCACTTCTGTTAATATTTTATTTAAACTCCCAATTGGATAGTCTATTCCAAACCACTCATAATTCAGAAATAGCCATTTTCCTAGAAAATGTCCAATTATTTTCCAGGTTCCTACCTATTTCCCTTATTAGTGGTTTTAGGGCTTTTTTTTTTTTTTTT